TCCTTTCTCTCTTTCTTTCCTTTTTCTCTTTCTAAAATAATCTGTGAAGTTTAATTCACCCCTAACTATTTCAACAGGTTTATGTATAGTCTGACTTTTCTCTTGGGTGTGTCTTTTGGATCACAAATAAGATAATCTTTTCAAAGTAGTGACTTTAACAAACTGATGTAGAGGTGCAATATGTTCATATTTTTCAAATACAGCTGCTCTGGAGAGTAAGAATTCTCGCTGCTTATGTCAGAATGTGGAAATTTATGCTGTGGAAACAGAGTGGTACAATAGCTCAGTTGTACTTAATGAATGGGAGCTTTGTCCTTCCTACTGGCCATTGTGAATATTCTGTTGTTCTGGGCATTTTTCCAAGAAGTGTACACGGGGGTGAAATGTAGAAAAGCAGCAGCTCTTTTGAGCTCTGTGCCAGCTGTGCAGGACTGTGTGCACGCTTTCCCACCTTGTCAGGGGCAGGTCCTGCTGTGACTGCTGGCTGCCTGCTGCAGAGCCCTCTGCACTGGCTGCTCCTCGTCACTTCTGTCCCCGGGCTCTGCGTGTGCTTGTGCCCACAAGGCACTTCATGAATGAGGGTGACTCCATCCTCACTGGCCTCATACTGAAAGTTTCAGAAGCAGCCTGTGTTCTGCTGAATGGTACATTTGTAGTTGGTATAGAACAGCTGGAGCATGCCGTTCATATTATAGCTATTTTTCTTGGATGAAATACTGAAACTGTTCAGCTGAGTGAATGGGTTGTAATCCAGGAAGTCAATGGATTTTCATTATTTGCTACTGTTTGTCTTTGGATGAACATTTTACCTTTTATGATCCAGAGCATGATTGTATAGATCTTTCTCATTCAAGAGTCTAAATTAATTGACTTTTAAAAAAATTATTTGACATTTATCCTCTTAGGATAAATTTTGTTGAAATGCAAAGCACCAAGAATTGGCTCACTAATATGTATTGTGCTGTATGTTTTAGTCTTTGCTGGGATACTTCAAATGAATTTTCAAAGTCAAATAATCGTGTGAAAAATGGGTCACAGTATTTTATAAAAGTTAATACCAGTAAGGGTTTAAAAAGGACAAATAATTTGAGACATCATTAATTCAACATGTTATTGTATCTGATCATCTTAATACTTTCCAATATTGTTATTTGGGAACAACAAACATCTTTGCTTCATTTCTGCCCATATGTTTTACACAATAACAAAATACAGAAAATGTTCCTGAAATGAGCAAGTGAAGTGCAGTCATGTAACCAACTTCTGAGAATTTACTCCATGACCAAAGGAGAGGGTCAGATTCATGGTGATGCTCTAGATTGGCTGGAGTTATTTTTCTTTTCCTTGAATTGCAATGATTGGTGAAATTCAAGCAGAAGAATGTTCATTAGCATTTGACAGAGGACCGTCATGAAACCTTGAGGACTAGTTGGCTTCTTGGTAGATTTTTGCTTTACCTTTTTTTTTTTTTTAGTCCTGCTGTGTTCACTTGACAATCATATTTTTTGCCCTGTGGTCTTAAGATGTTTTGAAAATAAATTAATAATATTGCCACCTTTTGATTTAAAAGCCACCTGCACTTTGCAGGTGTAGGTACAGTCAGCCAAGTGAGAGTAATAGTGCTTTGCATTTCTGCTACTGCCTGTGCCTATGCACATCAGAGCTGCTCTCTCACTTCTTCCACTGGGTGGAAATCTGATGGGTGTCTGTGGTCCCCATTAAATAATGAAATTAAGTTACAGTAAGACATTATTTCACATTGCCATACCACTCTTTGTTTCAGAACATTAATTAACCCTGTGGTTAATTCCTCCTGTGGATTATTGTGAATGCAGTCTTTGTAAAAGCTTTATAGGAATAAATCGTTAATGAAACATCTTAGAGACATCAGAGAGACTTACAGTTCTTAAAAAGAATTTGTTTTCCTACTCTTTCGTAGAAATAACTGATATAAAAAAATCATCTATTCAGTGCATGAAGCTGTATGTCTATGGCTTCTAAAGGTTTGATTTCTGTGAAATCAGTGTAACATGGGTAGAGATACTCTTCAGGATTTAGACATCACTTGCAGGAAGAAAATTTAAGAGTTGTCCCCTCAGATTACTGATGCTTCATTTCTGTCCTACCTTTTATGGGTTGGGCTTGACTGTGATCTTTGAGTTACTCTGTGGTTTAACATGTGAAACTATTTTCAGAAAATGAAGGTGGAGAATGACTTATCTGAAGTTATCACTACGTCTTTAATATAGAAAAAAACCCCTATAGCAGTCTGAAAACATGTGCACACTGCATGTTCAGAGGCCAGGAGTGCCTTGGGCAACAGAGGATGCTGCATGCTTGCCTGTCACTGCATTTTGTTACATTGCTAAGGAAAACTAAGAATATTGTCAGTCACATTGTACGTTTCCTGCCACTTACTTTCATCTTCACAAACATTTCCATAGCTATGCTTTTGAAATAAAATCAGTGCCTGCCTTTGGATGTTACGGCACTCTGAAATATTACTGCTAAAGAAGAAATTCCGTGGAAAACATTTCTGCCTCTCACTATTGAAGGGAGGTTTGTATGGTCCTTGGTCACTGTGTTCTCTAGAGTTAGGATAGTAATTCACAAGTTATCTTTGGAGGCCATGGGGATTGTTGCCTTAATCTTCCTTGCTTATGTAGTAATAGACCACCTGAGACCCAGCTTGTCAATGAAGTTCAAATCTTAATGCACTTCAGTGCTTCTCAGCTCATCATCTTAATCGGTGTCAACATGGGTTTAGAAGATCTGTCCTTATTTTTGGAAATAGTTTCCACAGCAGGGCACTGAGGCTGCACATTTGAAACATGTTTGAGAAAGACTAAAGATACACTTTTTAATTAGGCAATTTTCCCAATGCCTTTTAAAAAATTGTGATGAGAAAGTGGCAAGGATTTAACTTATTTTTCTCGAAGGATTCGGCCTCTGCATGTACACAGGAGGCTCAGAAGACTGCAACACAAGCAGTGTATATATTTTGAATAGTTTGTATAATCTTTCAAATGGAGAAAGATGCTCAGCCTTAGTAGAAGAATGATGCTCCTTGTAGTGCATTGACCCTGGATGGATGCCTGGCACCCACCAAAGACTTTCTCTCACTTTCCTCCAAAGCCAGACCTCTCATAGGTAGGAGAAAATGTTCACAGGGAAGAGAAAAATAAGGACCAGAAGAGATCACTCACCAAATACCATAATGGGAAAAGAGGATGCAATTTGAGACACTTATTGAATTTATTACTAACAAAACCGGAGCAGGATAATGAGAAGTATAATAAGACCTTAAAAATTTCTTCCCCCACACCCCTCCATCCTTCCCATCTCTACCTGCTTCTTCAATGGAATAGAGAGATGGGAAATGAGGGTTATGGTCAGTTCAACACCGGTTGTTTCTTCTGCTGCTCAGGGATAGGAGACCTTCCCCTCCTGCACTGTTGGAGACAGTTCTCCATGAGCCTCTCTGATGTGAGTCCATCTCACAAGCAGCAGCTCTCTGTGGACTGCAACGTGAGTCCATCCCACGTGCAACAGTCCTCCTAAAACTGCTGGAGCCTGGGTCACTCTTCCAGGGATGCCCTCCTTCAAGTCCTCCAAGGCTACTCCAGTGGGGGCTCCTCTCTCCATGAGCCTCCCATGAGTTCACAGCCTGCTCAGGCATCACAGAATTAATTAGGTTGGAAAAGACATCTGAAATAACTGAGTTTAACCTATGACCTAATGCAACTTACAGTCAACTAGACTGTAGCACCAAGTGCCACATCCAGTCTTTCCTTAAACAGCTCCAGGGATGGTAACTCCACCACTTCCCTGGGCAGCCTATTCCAATGCTCAGTCACCATTTCTGTGAAGACATTTTTCCTAATGTCCCACCTAAACCTCCTCTGGTGCAGTTTAAGACTGTGTCCTCTTGTCCTATTTCTGGTTGCCTGGGAGAAGAGACCAACCCTCTCCTGGCTGCACTCTCCTTTCAGGCAGTTGTGGAGAGCAATAAGGTCTCCCCTGAGCCTCCTCTTCCTCAGGCTAAACAGCCCCAGCTCCCTCAGCTGCTCCTTGTAACACCTGTGCTTCAGACACTTTGTCCTTCTCTGGACTCACTGCAGCACCTCATTGCCCTTCTTGAAGTGAGGACCCCAAAACTGGACACAAGACTGTAGGTTTGGTCTCACCTCTGGTGAGTACAGAGGGAGAATGACTTCTCTAGTCCCTCTGGACACACTGTTCTTAATAAAGGTTGGGATGCCATTGGCCTTCTTGGCCACCTGGACACACTACTGTCTCATGTTCAGCCTTTTTCTCTTCATGGCTCTGTAAAGTACAGAAAATATGTTCTCTTATTTGTGATATTACATACTTGTATATAGTAGTTAGTGTTTAGTGGAGATTCATATGCTTTGGCAGGAAACTGGTGCTCCTGCAGTGTACTTGATGACATCTAATGTGGAAGTCAAAATGTGAAGTTTGTATTCAGAATAATATGCATAAAGAACTCAAAAATTCTTCCGGGTAGAAGGGCACCCAATCCAGGAATATTGTAAACACATTCATTTGCCCTCTGCCACTCTGTACCTGAGTACACACAGTACCATGGAAAAGAGTAGTGAATCAAAGTCAGTCACCATGCTGAGATAACAATTTTTGAAGAATTGCTGGATCTCTGGAGGTGACCATATCTGTCAGCTGGAAAGACTGCAACAACGCTGGGAGATACACTTGCTATGGGAATAAACTCAGTGAAGTGATTTAATGAAAAAAAACCCCACTATGTGGCCAAATCACAAAGTTTGGCTGTGGGAAAGCTTTCTTGCCTCTCTGAACATCTTAAAATAGATAAATTGTCTGTTAAGCAGCTAGCAAGATGATCACTGGGGGTCATGATGCCTGCTTAAAATCAAGAATAGGTATTGCTGACCCTTAATCTGCATGGCAGGAAGGGCTTTGCTGACCTGAAGTTAAGTAATCTGTACTGCAAACAGATAATAGATGGAAATGAGGTTATTCCAACGAGAGACATTTGTGAGTGTAAGCACTCATATATGTTTACTAGCTTCTTGTTAAGCTTGAATACTTAAGGCTATAAATCAGGTTATAACGATATGCTAGGGCTTGGAAAAAACAGCTGTGCTGGAAGGGACATATAAAGAAACAAAATCAGATCTGAATTTGCAAGTTATTTCGGTAAGTGTATGCAGTTTTAAGTACATACATACACCTAAGTGAATTTAGGAGTCAGGAATATGTTCATGATTTTTTACTGACCTGAGGCATAAGTTACTACATCAGGATTACAGGAAGTTTCTGAGGTTTAGCAAGTCTTTGGTAAAATGTGCAAAAATTCCTTTTGATTGAAAATACATTTGTCTTCTTCATTTGAAAGAACTCTAAAACCTTAGTCCTGTTCCAGGCTGCCTTTCTTGCTTTGGATATCTCAGCCTGTGTCTCCTGTCATAGGAGAGGTGCTCCCACCCTCTGATCAATTTGGTGGTTCTTCTCTGGATTTATTCCAGCAAGCCCACCTCTCTCTTCAACTGCAGACCCCAGAGCTGGAGTCAGTGGTCCAGATGGGGTGTCACCAGAGCAGACTAGAGGGGCAGAATCCCCTCCCTTGACGTGTTGCTCACACCTCTTCTGATGCAGCCCAGCATAAGGTTGGCTAACAAGCCGTGCTCTGAAACCTTGGCTGGGTTTTTTTGGTACTGTTTAAAAGCTGAACACAGTTTGGCATCAAGCTAATGGTCTCTCTGAAGAACAGAAGAACATTTTTTCACCCTGGAAAATCGTACCAAAATTTTTTGCATGGGGACTGCTCAGCTGCTCAAGTTATATTATGGTATTTATATGCTGAACTTTTTCTAGTACACTGGCATGGCAGATTAAGAATTTTTACTTCATCTCACTGATGCTTTTGGTGCTCTCTGCTGCAGGTAGTTCCTCCGGGATCTACCTGTAGAATAGCAGTACCAACGTATAGTAGTGAACTTGTGAGCTGTTACTGGACATTGATTACAGCAGGGAAAAAAAAGGTGCTGCAAAATAAAAAAAAAAAAAAAAAAAGCCCTGAAGTGCAAAGATCCTGTAGATCTTGTAGTACAGTGAAGGAATGTGTTTACAATGAGAGAAAATTGCTTTTCTCATTGCTAACTGTATCCCATTTATTGTATTCAGCAAAAATCCAAGGAAAGGAAAACAGTTTCTTGTGCCCTTCAGATAGTATTTCCAGGCTTGCTCTTGATGCAGAAGCTCATGATATGAGCAGGTAACAGAAACAGCTGACTTGGACAAAATATGTCCGACACTGGTGTTATTCATAAAACACATTTTTATTGGCTACGCTGTATGTTGCTTACAGTTGGAGAAGACTGGCAGTGTCCAGGAACATCCCAACAGTCTGCAGAAGACACTGAGTCTTGGTAGAACCCTCTAGATGTCTCATGTCTAGTTGAGACAATGTTTAAATAGCTTATTTTCCCAGAGGGGTGAAGTGGCTGAATGGAGTGGGTGTAACCTGCTAGGTGTGGGAAAAGAAGCTGTTGCTGACATGTAAGAGAAAGATTTCCTTGTGCAATGTTGTATATAATGAGAACAGGGGTGCTCAAACAAGCTTACATTACCATAATTTATTTCACATTATTAATGACCATTGTAATAGCTATATATTTTAAATAAAGCACATTCTATGATATTGCGTAGTGGATTTTTTGTTATTTTTGCTCTTATTATTTCACTATTTACCTTTATTTTTTCCTTGTGGTTGAAGTTTTGCCTCTTTTTCCTTCCGTGTAAAATAATAAGAGAAAGATCCAAAATAGTTGCCCAGTTGGCTTCACACTGATATGTTAAATCTCTTACAAAAAGATAGCATGTTGCTTCTTAATTATTAAAATTATATTTCAGATACCTCTTATATCTACAAATAAAAAGGGACATTTTCCATGGCCGTTTGCTGTGTTCCTTTTCTGATGCTGCCTACTTGGGTGCCTGTATTGTCCAAGGTAAGTATGAGCAGCAGGCTTCTTTAAATACTTCACTTTATATAATAAAGTTCCCTTTATTCTGCCTTAAGGTGAACGAAGCTCTTAATGCATTACAGAGCAGTCAAAACTGGGCCCAGGCCTTATTAAATGAGGCTCTTTCAGAAAATTAGAACACTGAATGTCAGGTTTGGGTACGTAAGTGACACATCTTTTTGAAGAGAAATCAAGTTCTGCCCAGTACCTTGATTAACATTGTGGCAGACCAATAATGTTGATAGAACAGAATTAGGATCACTCCATGCCAGTGCAGATAAATCATATGAAAAAGGGGAGAATCAGGAGTGCATTATTTTAATTCTGCCTGGTACCAGAATAATAGATACTCAAAGGGGAACATTGCAGATGCTTCTGTTTTACGGGGCATTTTTCTGCCACAGAAATAGTTCAGTATTACTAATTAATGCAGTAGTTAATAAGGCATTGGACTTCTCTTGAAGCTCATTGATTAAAGTAGCAGTTATAAGGATTTTGTTTTTTCAGTTTAATTATAAATTCCTCAAAGAAGCATTTCTTGTGAGATGCTAGATTCTTGCTGAGCATGGAAGTACCTTGAATTACACTGCATTTACTGAATTCTTTCCCTATTAATGTTGCAATTAGATTTTTCTGTTTTTATGTTTTGGATCTGTTCAGCTGAGCTTGGTGATTATGATCCTGATGAACACCCAGAGAATTACATCAACGACTTTAAGATTTTTCCCAAGCAGTCACAAAAGCTTGAGAAGAAAATAGCTGAAATGCATAAAAATGAATTCAGGTAATTTATAATGCTGTTTGGTAAAGAGACAGCTAAGAAATACTTTTATCTATTTCCAAGTAGCGCATGTTAACTTAGGAGGGTTTGTTCCGTGAATTTTAATAGAACCTCTACCAATATCCTGTCTGATAGGCTGTATTTGAAAATGTGGTTTCAGCTTAGGGGGTTTTCTTTGCTTGTTAACCTTCATTAATCATAGTTGATTCCTGCATGACTGCTGGTAATTTAGACTTCATTTGCTTGAAATGTAGGTCTGGTTAGTGGGAACAGCTCTCATGATCAGAGCTGTTCTAGCTGATTAGCAGAATAAAACCTTTCATTTAGGGAGCACATGTTTTTTGTTCAGAAATTTCTGTCTGTACTGCGATTCTAAAATTCTTGATAGATATTCACCTGATTGAAACTATAATTAGGTTATTTGATCTGTAGGTGGTTAATTCACAGAAATGTATTTAAGTAACTTCCTTGGAAGACTAAGGAGATGAGATCCAGAACTCTTTGCATGCCCTTTTATCTGTCCTAAACTTTTAATACTCTAACAAAGGCAAAGGAGGAAACAGATTAGTCAATCTTTTGGTTTTTAAGTTAGATGAGTTTCAGGAGACAAGGAGCAGTGAGTCAGCTGTGCAACTATACCCTCTTCAGGGTTGTCAGTGAATGACATGCAGAGTGTCGAGAGGGAGATTTCATGAGGCCCTCGGCATCTTGCTTAGCTGAGGATCGTCCTCAGGACATGGGGAAAGGCATGGGATGTGCAGGAAATCAAATGAAAGCAAATTATTAATTACATAAAGTAGAAGAGCAGTTTTTATTGAAAGATTACAAGGCTTTTGCACATCCTTAACCTGTGTTTTGTTTTCATATTTCAATATATGCAAAGAAAGAAGAAAAATTCCTTTCAGGAGAGTTTATATTTCCAGAGGCCTATAAAGTATGTTTTTCAAGTAAAGTGCAAAATTCATGACAATAAGCTTGCCAGTGTTAACGTGTCTTCTCTTTTTTCCTTCCTGAAATCTATATACTTTCTATGTATTTCTTTCAGTGTTTTAAATGGCTTATATCTAACATTTTTAAACTAGTCCAGCCTGCACTGTACACAGACCCATAGGAACAACACTTTAAAATAAGAACAATTTCTTTTACTGTCAGCTTTTTTCCATACAGTGTCTACAGATTTCCAAAGGATAAATTCAACCTTAATTAAAAACCGAGGTATTTCATCAGTTAAGCCAAGGTGCAATTGAAGAGTCTGATAAATTCAGTCTTTCAATATGAAAGACTTTCTATTCTATACTTTACTGGTTTGTATTACTGTTATGTATTTTAGACTCACTGGCTTGTAGCTCTTTGCAGCCCTCAAGAACTGCCATCTTTCTTTTCTATTTTCTTTGCTTATGTCAGCATCTGGTGTGCCTTACCTATTTGTCTGTTTTCAGAGAACAAAGGCACAAAGGCAGTGTCAGAGCTGTCTGGGTAGCTTGTATTTGGCAGTTTCCCACTGCACCTCTCTGTCTTCCCCAAATTGATCATCCTCTAACATTTTTTACATCAGACATTTACCAGTCATGGAAGTTTTACCTTTTTCTGGATATTTAGTTCCATGGTTCTCTATTCTAGCAGTACAAATTTATAAAACATATCTGACATATAATGAACTATGTAGAGAGGGTTCCAGTGCTAGATGATCAGATTTCAGCATATCTAGCTGCAAAAAAAATGACAGGAAAAAACAGTCTTCTTTATGGCATTGATTGGCACACGTGTTTCAATGCATTCTTCAGCAAGTCTAATTTTCTGATACCAATTAATATTGTGCTGCTCAGTGAGTGTTTTTAAAAGTTGCAAGGGGTTCCTCAGGTCTTTTCTTACAAGCTACTCGAGTGATTTGCTAGCTGACAGCTAACATGTGAGCAGAACAGATGAGAATGAGAGCCTTTCTAATCCGGCTGCCATTCATCTGCCTTCAGAATTGTTGCCTCTCACTTTCAGCTCTGTGAGCCAGATTCTTTGTTTTCTTCACATGTGTAAACAAAGATGATATCTCTCTCCAGCAGTATGCTCTTATATGACCAAATCCCTGGGGCTTGGAAGAGGCTCTTCTCTGAATCCTGTGTCAACATCCTTGACTCCTGTTAATTTCTTCCGATTTTTTTGGGGGGGAGTTTGGGTTTGGGTGGGTTTTTTTGTATGGAGGAATGGGGTGGATGTTAGTTTGTTTTTTTGGTTTTTTTTAAGAATTCATTGGTTGAAAGTAAAGCCATTTTTCTATCCCATCTGAAAACTAATATTCCATTTTTTCTTCTGATGTGAAATATCGCACCATGTATTTATGGAAGTGTTATGTAAAAAGCTTTGAATTTTTCTGAAAGCCCCCCACAAATATTTACTTTACAAAGTTACATGACCCATTCAAATGCCTATTTTCAGTGTATAGGTAAATACAAGTTATTTTTTATTCCCTTGGATGGCCAGTGTGGATGCAGGTTTGAGATATCTGAGTGTACCGAATTGGCTATAGTCTCTACTTTGTGCATAAAATGCTTTGCAGAAGTCATACGTGAGAGACTGTCTTTCAGGAGAAGAAAATTTTCCTCTGAGGATGTGAAATCACTGCCATTTTCTGATAACTATCTGAAAAACCATTTAAAGTCTTAAGCTAAAGCGAGTGTTTTCTTGAATACCAGAGTTGCAAATTAATGCTTGTCTTTGATCCAAGTTAAATGAGAAGTTTTGTTTAAATTTGTTTTGAAAGGCATGTAACATTTTTATCCTTTGGTGCATCATCTACATTGTAAGTACTCAGTGAGGATTTTAAGCACTTTTCAGTTTCACTCTTACTAGTTCTCCTAGCCATCCCAGCAGCCCCCGTGTGCCTTTTACACTGGTGCCAGCAGGAGCACAGGATATCCCAGTCTCCACTGATGTGGCTCTCCAGCTCTTGTGCAGCTGTCAGTGGAGCCACTGGCAAGCATAACTGCAAATGTTACTGTCTGAGTACAATCTGGGAGGCTGTCCTAGAAGACTTGGCAACGGTTGCTAGAAAATGCTTTTCTTTGTGGGTGTTAATATCATTTCATTCAAGATTAAACACTTCTTGCATGCTGAATGCATTGAAATGCAGCATATGTTGTATACATGAAAAAGCACTAAAACTAAATTATGATTTAACAAGTCCAGAATGAGGTGCATTTATTTAAGTGCTTCTCACAATTAAAAGTACATATTATATGGTTTTATGCCTAATGCTGATGGCCCGCTCATGTACACTTTATATTTAGCTTCCAGTAATACCCTAATCACATTGGTATCTAACAGCCTCATATACACAAAGGGAATTCAATTGAAAGGACAAACAGTGTGCTCCAAAACTTGCAAGTCATGTTACAGGAGACAGAAGCCACTTTTCTGGGGATCAAGGGTCTGTTGAGGTTTATGTGGAGCTGAGGGGGACGCCTGGAAAAGAACAGGGCTTGGGCTGCTGCAGAGATAAGTGCCTTCCAGGCCCCAGGGCCCAAAGTCTTTTTCGTTCTTGGTTATACAAAATATACGGAGGACTTTGGAGGGCTGAGTCCAATGAGCTCTTCGTTTCAGCTTTGGTATCAAAATTTGGTATGCTGCCTCAGAGTTTCCCAGTGCAGCCATTTAGATTTGCCTGTCAAGCCATATGTTGGCAACTGCCACTGCTTAAAAAAGGATTAGTTCTCTAAGTATTAAAACATCATTGTGTGTGGTGTAATAGGGGAATAATTTGTTTCTATTCTGCTACATTTCCCCAGTGTTCTCACCCCAGAATTCGTATCAGTTGTAATCTGGATGAATCAGAGAGATTGTTGGAATGTAGCAATCCAGTCCTTTCCCTGAAAGATTCCATGAGTGGTCATTTCCTCAAAGCTTTTTTCTTCTGAACCATATTTCTTCTGACAGAAGTGTGCTTAAAACTAATTCAAATCAAGGAGCTGTTCTTGTAATTCTGGTTTCACTAACTAGAAAATAGTAAGAGTGAGTTGGTTTTTTTTTTTTTTTTAATTAATGTTTACATGGTACAGAGAATATTTCCAGAGGCTTTATGGTGAGGCACAGCTTTCCCTGAGCGAAAATTTAATGGAAGAGGCAGTTGTAACAGTAATCTAGAGAAAGGAACTTTGCAGACAAAAGAGTTGTCTTTCCCATTCTCTTTTGAAAAACTGAAAAGATATATCAATACATGGGATTTTTCTTTTTATATAATCCCAAGAAGTATTCAATAGAAAGAATAATCTGCTTGAATTGAAAAAGTTGTAAAATTTGTGGCAACATTGATAATTTTTTAGATTTTGGAGAGATAATCACCACCACTGTGCTATTTTTTCCACTGCAGCTAAAACATTAGAAATCATTTCAGGTTTATTCCAATGCCACATAGCACCATTATTGTGAATAAAAATAGCAAAAAGACATTATGTAAAAACATCTCAGCTATCTGCCAAAATATTCTGAGTTTAAAGTAAAACCTGATCAAAACCATTAGCACTGTAATTTTGTAACAATTGGAGTCTCAGCTACATGCAAAAAGATTTAAAGATGCAACAGCTAAAACTTTTTCATGTGGTAGGCAGTTCTGTATTCAGTGTACAGTGCAGCTAAATGTGCTGATTCTTTAGCAGAGTTCTAGCTTTTTTCTAGGTTAGAAGGAACCCCAGGTAACTCAGTTCTGCTGGGAAATGTCCTCCACAGGCTCTGGGATATAACAGCAAGAATATTTACTTCCTTCTGGAAGTTGTTACTGTTGTCTCTGCTGAGATCACAGTGAAATACAAATGGCTGATGTCCCTGTTTTTCAGGTGAATATGTAATGTCTCTAGAGGCCAGATCATTATGTACATATTTATTTATTCTTTTATTAAAATACATTAATACACCTTACAAACTGCAAATGTCCAGAAATTAAACATAGATAGGACATACTCTAGTGAAGTATTGCTATTGTATTCTGCAGCAGGTACCTTTTTTTGACATAGAGATGATGCAGAAAGGTGGACTCTAATTGTTATTATTACTAGTTTGGTATTAGCAATATCTCACAGCACTTTGTAAGTCAGTAAGGGAATCAGAGAAGAGAAATCAAATGACCGCACTAATGTGCTCAGGAACCAAGAGGATGAGAATAGCATTGAAAATGTTTTTACTTTGATGTTTTTGCTACATGGTCTTTGTCAAAAGGAGGTAATGCTTAATCCCGTGCTAGTTCATCCTTGCACTAAGATTTATGACTTCAGTATGTAACAGATACATGCTTCAAAGGAAAGGTATGAAGGAGACAAACTTCTGGAATGAATTGGTATTCGTTCATTGGCAGTGAGTGAAGCAAGGAGACCATCCCTGTGACACACCCTGGAAGTTATTCCCTGTTGAGCTTCCTTGCCTTTGAAGTGCTTCAGAGTTGGAGACCCTATGGGGAATAAAAAGAGCTTTTACATCCTCTAGTGCATACTTCTCCCGAGCCTCAAGTTAAAACAGAATGTTTTGCATACTTCTCAGTGTTCTATTGAAGTATTTGTTTCATTAAAATTTTATTAGGAACTTTTGGATTGATTGATTTCTAGGTTGAATCATCAATTCATAATTAATGGCTGTGGACTTCTAATTTCACAAATAATCCACTTTTTTATCATTTGTATGGTATGCAGAAACTTTTCTGAGTAGTAGTTTATTTTTGGTCCTGTTCAATACCTTTGCCATGCAGTAGTTGGGTGCTCTATGTGCTGCAACATGTAGAAAGAGAATATATGTTTCCCTTAATGCTGAATTAATACTGAAAAATAAGATCAAGAGCAGTAAATGCACGGAGAGACCTGAATTTCCTGGGAATACAGGGTTCTAAAAAAGCATATATGTATTGCCTAAATATTCTCTGATTTTCCGCTGTAAAACACTTGCGTGAGTACAGTATAAATTATTTTGTCGGGCTGTTTGTGATGTATAGAAAGCTTAAGGGCTTTTTAACAAAGCACATCAAAAACACATCTAATGTTAGATCAGCGATTGATAAAAAAAAGTTGACTGCTGATAGGATTTGCTACAGTTATATTTTTATTTAGTAAGAAAAATTTCATTACTAAGTTACACACAAAAAGCATATTATCAAGGCTTAAATGTTAATCCTTTGATAAGAGACAAATGAGGATTTTTTCATTTGATATTGTCCTTGACTCTTGTGCTTTGTGATGCTCTTTTAAGGCTTTGCACTGTAGCCATTTGATTAGTCTGTAATCGGATATGATCAAATTTGTCCGAGTCTTCTGCTTTTTTTCCCCAAATGCCACAGCTTGTTCCACCTAATGTACACAAAATGATCATAGTTGCAGAGGCTATAGGGGAGGGAAGCCTGATAATACTTTTTTTTAGTTTCTCTTTAATAGTAATACCAAGTTGAGGGTTTTTTTTTTCTCCATTTGAATATGCCAACTTCCCAAACCACATTGTTGCAAACCACTTGTCACTTTTTGTCCATTAAAACCAGAAGATTGACCATCTTTTGTATCAGCAAACAGAGGTAGTAAAAAAATGTATTTTGTGATTCTTTGTTTTTGTAAGGTGCAATATCTAATAAGCAACCAAAGGATTTCTTTGGCTTTTCACTATGCAACATAACTATTCTAAGTAATTTAGGTCTAACTAGTTAATTTCTTCTGTCACATTCAGTTGTCTGGTACATGAAATAAACCTGTTGCCTTTTTAGGGGTCATTTATGGTCTTACAGTTGTGATGACACAAAAAGTTATGATTTAGTAATATTTAAAATGGAGAAAAAGCTTAACAGAGCTACCAAAAAACTGAGTGGAAAAATAAACATTTTTGTTTTGACTGCTGCTTTCCTGCTGTTTTCTCCTTAAATATTAGCTTTTAAAATACACATTTGTAATTTTTGGTGTTCCCCTTAATACATGCTCTTCCCCATTGGCAAGTGATGAGAAAGAGACCAAAACAAAAGAGAAAGAAGGCCACTTCTTCTCTAATATATATATATATATATATATATATATATATATATATATATATGTATATTTAATTTAGATATAAAACATCCACAAAAATATGGTCTGAAATAAAGTGAAGGTTGTGTAGTGTTAAAAAATACTGATGAAGCCCAAGAAATATCATGGGGTTGATTAGGAAATGATAAACAGTGAAGTAAAAATGAGCAATTTTTAAACTTTGTAACAGAAATGGTTATTGACACTTACATTGCCACGGGTCATTATGTTCAAAATAGGATTTGATGTCCACAAGCATGCTGAATGTTGCTTTAATTGTTAAACTGAACTTTGGGGCAGATCCTATCCTACTCCAATACTTGTTCGTTTCTACCTGATGGGGACTAACAGGCTTCCAGGGAAATTACGGTACAGCTATACACTGTGAAGTATAAAATGCCAATTTCTAGGTACACTTGGTCACAGTGTGAGGCTGGACTCAAAAAAAATCCAGGTGTAGAATAATGTGTGACTATCACTCTGCTCTTTGAAAATTTTTTTATGGCTCTCTATTTTTTTTTTTTTAATAATTTACATGGAAAGTATTTATGAAGTCAGGCTTTCTAGGGGTCCTAGGCACTGTTCATTATCATAAAACTGTATTATCTATCAAAATCATGGACTCTAGTCACAGAGATACAGAAATTAAATAATACTTGTAACAGTTCACTTTGAAATAAACGTTGTAAATCTGTGTTAGAGCTTATTGTAATGGCAGTAGTTTCCAAAAATCAGAACTTTCTCTAGACCCCAAGTCTTCATGCCACGTTTCAGGCTTTAGTGTATATTTGCTGTTGATTATAGACACCCTAAAAATAGGGGTGTATAAATGGAAACACAGATTCTGAGCTATCATATTGGTAGCAGGCACTGCTATAATTAGGCATACATCTGAGTAGGCAGTGAAATATGAATGCTGTGTTTATACCTTGTACTGGAAGGAATGTTTGTTATCTGCACAATCCTTTTAAATGAGATGGGGAGCAAAAGTTTGTGGAAAAAAGATGCTGAGGTTTATTTCACATTCAGTCTGACATGAGGATATATCAAAAGACAAGAAATACTTTCTGCATATTAGATAATTCTGGTTAGTTGTGGTTATCTTGGGATTTATAAAAAAACGTAAGAATTTACCTGAAAACATCAGGCACTGTACAATTCAGCAGAAGAAAAGATGTGAAAAGTTTTCTATCTTTTTATTACAAACAAAACATGGTTGAAATAGTTTCAGTGTCAGTAAAAACTTTTCTTTCCTCTGTCTTTAGGCATTTAAACTCTCCAGTCAAAAAGTCTTTCTCCTATTTATTTTTGCTGTGAAACCCCTTTTTTCTTTTGTAATTTCAGAGGTCAGAGCCCAGCTGTTGCTGAATTTAACTTGCTTCTCAAAGCAAATTCTTTGGAAACTTATGGTGTTGATCCTCACCCTTGCAAGGTAATACTTCTTTTTACTAACTTTTAATAAAATGTTCTCTTTACTAACATCTAGTTAAAAGACAGTAATGCAATTGATTTAGCTCTAGTTTTTATACAGGCACAAATAGGGAGCAATTTCTAAAACAGCTGCCCTGGAACTGCATATTATGCTTAAGCCTTGGAAGAACACTCACTGGTTAAGTCAAAAAAAGGGGCTCTCCAGAGGAAGCCAGAAGAACATCACAGGAGAATCTAGTAGATTGCAATGGTGTAAACTCTGATTATAGTCCATAATTTCTTTGCATTTAGTGCGAAGATTTCTTTTAATTACTCCAGGTATTTTTACAGGTATGAAATATTTTTTTATTTGCCAAGATTTTCAGGATTCACCATTATTTTGACAAGATGATGCAACACTGATAGTCCATGGCAGATCAGTTTTTCAAACTCCATCGAAATAGGTGAATCTTAGGAAGAACAGCAAGCCAAATGTACAAGGAGGAGAACTCACTTCCCATTCCCACTTCTCACTTTGTTATTTTGTGGTCTTCTATAAGAAGGTGATTTTAATTACCAGGTCTGATTATCTTGTATGCGTGCATTTTTAATTACTTGGTTGTATCTACATAATCTGCAGTGTTTATTTTTAGAGTGATTTGCTTTGTGTTTTAACTGCTGCTTTTGCTTTGGCTCATTTATTTTCTCTTCTGCTGGGACAGCAGTACTGTTTAGTTATCTCTTCTGGTTGTGAGCATCCTTTAGCAGTCAGCTCTAACACAAAACTGCATAAGATTTTGGATATACTTTTTCAGGAATGGTGCTTCTGTGTGAAAGACAGGGTCTGGTTCAGAGCTTAGTGAAGTCAGTGATGTAGTAAACTTTACTTTGAAACTATACTGCAGATTTTCAAAAGGCATCCCAGAAACTGAGGCATAACTGGCTTAGAATTATTTCTTTACCTGTGTGGCAGGTCTTTTAGCGTGGGGGACAATCAGAGGTTCATCACCCATGCCTAAGGAAAATTAGTCTGTCTTCTGGAAGTGAACCGCAAAGCAAGGTTCTTTACTGGCTCCTTGTGACATGTTCCTCTCAGTGCTGTGGCTGTTACTCCAGAGCCATCCCTGTTTCTGTTCCCCTTTACTTTGTTGGTAAAACGTAAGGCATAATAAAGTTAATTATCTTTAAAAAGATGAGGGTATGGAACTTGGGATGGACAGAAAATCCAGTTAATATAAAATTCATCTCAATCACGAATCAAAAATGATTTTATTGTGGAGTTATATTTTCAAAATTTTCTTTTCTATTTCAAAGGCGAGTACCAGAATTTCTTCTGGTTTGTACTGAAGAGTATATGTGTACAAAACAGAAGCTTTTGTTTTTAAATGCTCTCGGTCAGCAGTATTTCCAACACAACACCTTGCAGAGGAACAATTTATTGTGAAATCTTAAAAAATATCAGCAGTTAAAGCAGTTATGAATCCCTGGTTTGTACTTAGTCTTCCTTTTAGGAACAGGAATATACACAGAAATACATTTTCAATAAATTTGGTAAGTCTACCTAAGGAGTCCCTGTTGTCATCAGCTACAGATAGATGGAAACAAAGCATAAGATATTGTTGCTCAAATGCCTAGAAATAAATGAGGTCTTTATTGCCAAGGGCAATTTCCTTTAGAAGTCCTTTCCTTTCGAAGTGTACATTTAGAAGGCAAAATTTGTTTTGAAAAGGAAAACAAAATAAAGGTAATCTAGACTGGAGTCACAATTTATGCTATCAGTAAGAAATACCTCATTGGATGAGGGGAAAGTTATGTTTCTTTTTCTCTTTCAAGGACTCATTTGGGACAACTACATTTTTAGGATTCACAGCTGCAGGATTTGTAGTTTTCCAGGGGAATAAAAGAATTCATTTATTAAAGTGGTAAGTATATGATGTAAGAATATTTTAATAAATAAGTGTATTTTCTCCTGTGTCTTCTTTTCCTACCATAATCACCTGCATTTATTGTCTTTATGGAGAACCATGTGAACATTACATCGCCTGCCCCATCATGTTTCTGTTTTAAAGGATTTTAGATTACAACAACTACAGCTACAGCAATAATAACAAGAACAATAACAACAATTTGATCTCATTCAACTCCCAGTGAAAATTATTCACAAGTTTCATTAGTCAACATAATTTACAAGTGCTAAAACTGAGTAAGTTGATTTTTTTAGCTATGCTGTAAATCACCAGTGAGGTTTATTGGCAGAGAGATTTGGAATACTGCCAAGAGTTCACCTTAATCTTTATTGACTCTTGGAAATATTGCAATCTCCTCATTTAATTACCCCCAATTTGAAAATTATAAAAGAACTTATTTGGTAAGCAGAGGAGGTGGAGCTGAGAATGCCTTTGAATTTTTTTTCTTGGTCTCTTTTTTTAAGAAGTGGGCACTTATGCAATTGTCTTTGGTTTGTCTGGTTTTGCTTTTATTTGAACTCCTGGACTTAATTTGTTAGCTTCAGTCAGCCACATTTGAGGAAGAGGTAAAACTGAGCTCCTGCAAATGATGTTAAGAGTGGCTGGCCACACTCTCGGCAGTGTGGTGCAAAGTGACCAGTCATGCTCAGACAATCTCATTTTAGCCCTGCTGCTACATGGGTGCCAACAACAGCTACTCAGCTGTGACTGTTCCATCTCTGAGATCTCAGCCTGTCTTTTGGGATCAGGATGGGCAGAAGGTGAAAAAAAAGGTGAAGCTGGGCTCCTTGCTGTGTATCTCTAGAAACTTGAGTGTTGAATATCCTGAAATCCTCAGAAGTGTAAAGTCAGTGTATTCCTGACTATACAAATGAGTTCCCTATGGAGGTTTGGGGGCATGCCTATCAAAAGCCGTCCATTTGTGATCCTGGACTCATGCTATAATTCCTCCAGGGTAGCCCCACAGGTAGCTATGGTCACAGCCCTTCAGTGGTTTGTGGTTTTGGCACAAGGAAAACGTAGTAGTAATGTCAGTCTATGGCACACTGAGGAGAGAGTAGCACTTGCCAAGCATGTGTCCACAATACTGTGGGAAATGAATCTCACAGCATTTAGCTTCTCATGTCATTTGTGGATAATGTGTCCTCTTGGCAATCTAGGCATATTTGTTAAGTGCATTGATATGCAAGCCAGATGAAAAATAAAGCAGTGATAGAGGAAAAGACAATAAACTTTCTCAGTGTTACAGCAATGGCTGAAAGGTCAGTCTGGTGAGTTTTATCTGAACACTATGTACTACTTCTTCCACTTCAGAGGCCTAGAAGTAAGTGCTGTAACTAATTTTAGCTGAAATTTGTGCTACACAATAAAATCCCCAAATTTGTATTTGTGATTTTCTTTTCAATGTAAAAGATTTCTCAATGATTTTTGCTTTTCTCATGTAAAATGAAAACTCTTGTTAAAAAGTTTCAGATATAGCACTGTCCTTGCCTCCAAGATTGTTTCTGTTTCAACTCTGACATCCAAAACTCTTAGAAAAATTTATGAAAAACAACAGTGTCTCTATTTTAAATATCCATTACAATTTAAGCAGAGGCATGACACTGCCTTTTTATGGTCCACTGTTATACCATATGTAGATTGGGCACTCAACTTTGATTAAATTAAATTTTGCTATAGGCTTTGCAACTCAAAAAGCTCCTCTATAACAAGTGCAGTCAAATATTTTCTTTTTCTTCTTGTGTTCTGTAATAAGTAGTAAGTTACTAAGATGTGTGATATGAAGCCTCAGATAAATAAGAATAGAGAAAAGAACATTATTTTTCCCTCAATTTAATTACAGTAGACATTGTAAGATTTTAAGACATAAGAGGAATTGCAAGCTGTGCCATAAATATAATATAATTATAAACTTCTGTCTACCTTTAATTTCCTCTTCACTTTCCAGCAGACAAACTTAATTCTTTGAAGGTACATAAGGATGTAAAAGAAATATTTTGGGCTTATGTTCTCTAAAAGAATTAAACTATTAAACGATTTTATCCTAGTTTGTAAGGCCTGTTAAGGCCTTTTGTCATTTGATAGCCTGCTTGACTTTGGTAATCAAGGAAAGTTACATACTAGTTACTTTTCTTACTTGTAGAGCTATCCTTTTTTCCCTTATACTTAAGTATTTTTTCTCTTTCTAGGTGTGATGTCTATAAACTGAAATTTGAAGGGAAGACATTTTATGTGTTTGGAGCTCAGAAAGAGGTTAGATTTAATATTTTTTCAGAACTTCTGTATTTGGTTAAGACTGTATATTTATTTAACTAAAAAAACTTCTAAATAATCAAGAATTCTTTTTAATATTGTAAATAAAATATAGAATATGAATGAATGTGAGTAATTTTTGAAAAAATGTCTAATCTGCAAAGCATTGAGACATTTCTCACTTAATATGCATGCTGTGCTTTGTGGATTGTTCAATGGTTTTGGCGGCTTTTGGAGTAAAGCTTTAATTTATTTTAAAGTGCTAAGGCTGTACTTGCCCACTCTAAAGTATAGAAGACGTCTGTATATGATTGCAAATTCAAGTAAGCATTGATACCTGGATCAATGTGAGGTATTTTTTGGATGATTACAATCCCATCCTCAAATCTTGGTGAGGTGAAAAGGTTGGACTCTGTCTTGTGCAATTAGGAGTCCTATCACTGTGCTCTTGTCATTGAAATCCTAGAGACTTTTGTCTACAGCATGTTATAATCGGCTCTTTCCCTGGATCAGAGTGATATAGTCTAAGGTTACAGTTCTGAATGGAGGTGAGGAAAGAAAATGAAGGAAAGAAATAATGCCAGAGGTATCAGGACTGCTGGTGGTTGCAAGGAGATTTTGATGGTAGGACATTAAATGGTAGGGGGGGGTAAGTAGTGCAGCAGCTGTGTGATGTGGAATATTCAACACAGAGATTTCCCTCCTTTGATTTTGACCAGTTATACAGTTGTTTTAAAAGCCACTTGTACAGATGCTCTTCCATGCCACCTCCAAGCATCTCCTTTTGTCTCTGAAAAAATTGCCTGGGAAGTTTAAATATCAGCCATGTATGGATATGATATCAGCTATGTATGGGTGAACCACAGATATACACTGCACAGGAAAACTTGGTTTTCAGTGTGTCTGGTTAAAGGTGATGCCATCAGTTACAGCTATTTCAGTTGCTGAGAATTCAACGTTTTCACTGCTTTCATTTGCTTTCTTTCCTTTGCACTCAGAAGAAGGCTGTGCTGTCATTCCATACCTCTACACCAGCAGCCTGCAAGCATCTTTGGAAGTGTGGGGTGGAGAACCAGGCTTTTTACAAGTATGTGCACCTGAAGTCATTATCCATACTAAAAGCAAAAAAAAAAAGTGCATGTGAGTGGAAAATTGTTTACTGGAAAATGTGCTATTTAGCTAACAGAAGGCAAAATGCAAATAGAAAATATGCAAGTTAATGGGGAATATTATTTCACTTCAAGCCAGTATTAGAAATTGTTTAAAATCAAAATGAGACAGGAAGGTTTTGGGCTCCAGCGCAATGCTTTTGCTGCTCTGTAGTGAGATATTGGATGGGCAGAATTCTGCACTTGTGTCTGGGAACATAGCTGTCAATCTTAGCCCTGCTGTGGAGTATCTTGAGAATGGAGGAAAAAATCTGTAATGCTTGATTCTCTAGACTCTTCTGCCAGGAAGAATAATTAGTCTTCCACTTGAAATCCAAGGCTTAGTAAGAGTTGATTAACTCTTGAATAAACAGCTCTCTTTAATGATTTAAGGAAGAAAAGAAAATGTTCTTAGATATATTTTGAAAGATACCTGTGATCTTGTTATACACAAAAAAGACGTGTAAAGTGACAAAAAAGGTAGTATCTTCCTCTCCAGTCCCTGGAAGAGACCTTAATAATACTTTCTCATTTAAAAACTCCTCTGCATTCTTTCTGCCCTCTGTTGGCATTGTTACATCCGTTTATTGAGGCATGTAGCTTTTATTCTTGCTACTTAGTGTTTCCTTACAGCCTCTCGCATATTTTATAATATTTTATAAATATTACTGTTTCTGTTTTGGCACATAGCCACACCAGGAGACTGCTGTAAGGGTAAATAAAAATGAAGTAGGAAAAATGTGTTTTCCAACCTGGATGTTAATGACCTGCTTTAATTTGGAGGAGAGTCTCTTTTTAGTTTCAACAGTGATACAATAATATATAATCTATCCAACTGATATATTCAATTGGATGGAAAAAAAAAACAAACTCAGGAAGTAGGAGCTGGCAAGACGCATTTGTTAATTGTCTATGTCAACATCTACTGTGCTTGAGACTATATCAAGCCCAAATATAGTCTGTAAATAAAGACTAATTTGAAGTTTATCCAGGAACATTTTCTGTTGGAAATAGGCTTAAATAGGAAAATACTGCATGGTGTTTGAGTAATTTTATTTTATGTTACAAGAAATAAATTGGGAATAAGAATCTTCTATCTTTTAAAGATGAGAAATTAATTTCTTTGAGTCGAAATTAGCTCAATGTACAGGGAGACTCACAGGAATATCACCTCTCCTGTTTTCTTGTTAAATGGCTGTAATATTTGTTAATGGCTTGTTAAAGGGCTGTAATTTGGGTTTTGATCACAAATACATGGTTTAGGGGATTTGATCTTGGCTAGATGCTAGATACCTATCCAGCTGCTCTTCACTGTCTCAGGACAAGGAGAACAGGTCAAGAGGAAAAAGTATGATAAAACAACTTATAGCTTAGTATAAAGCCAGAAAGATTGCTTACCAATTGCTGTCACAGACAAAACAGACTTCACTTGGAGAAGTTTAATTTAATTTCCTTTTAACCTTTGCATTCTGTTTTAAATTGCCATCAGAGACAAAACTCAAACCACCCTTACCATTTCATTCCAGGATCAACTTTGCTCCTTCATTTCTGACTCCTCTATATCCCCCTTGCCCTGAGCAGCTCAGGGAGATGGGGAACAGGGATTGCAATTCCTCTCTGCTGCTCCTTCCTTCCTCTGCTCCAATCTCCTTCATTAACTCCTCAAGCACGGGCCCTTCCCATGTGTTTGCAGTCCTTCAGGATGTACCTGCTGCCTCTCGTGTTCCTCTCCATGGGCCACAACGCCTGCCTGCAGCCAGCTTGTGTGAGCTCTCCAAGGGCTGCAGCTTCCTTCAGGACATGTTGGCCTGCTGCAGGGTCTTCCATGGCCTGCAGAGGGGATATCTGCTCTCTTTGGCTGCAGTGGGACACCCTCCCTCCCCACAGTTTTCTCCACTGGCTCCAGGATAGAATCTGCTCCCATACCTGGAGCACCTCCTTCCCCTTGTTCTTCTCTGACCTCGATGTGTTCAATGGTGTTCCTCTCATCTATTTTTCGGCTTTCCAGATTACCTTATGGAGTGGAATTATTCCTTAAAGATGATTGCTTAAATTTCTGTTTCAATTTTGGTGGGTCTTTCATTTAATAACATGAAGATTGGAAATGTGACTTAATGGGACATGAACAATAGTTTGAAACACTGTAATTTTAATATGCAGAGTGCAGAAGAATAACAATAATCCTTCAAACACAAAACTGAAGCCAAAACTATCTATCAGTAAAGCCTTAAGATCACAGTTGTGAAACAGGAAATGTTTTCTCACATTTCAGAGAAATAGACTTGTACAGTGGGGTCTGTTACTTAGCAGCATTAGAAAAATCCCATTTGTTTAAGTTGTGTATAATATCAACAAGATGTTCTGATAAGATTAAAGCAGACGTAGTCAGATTGTGCAAATAATTCACGGCAATGACACTTTGCCTTAATAAAATTTGGTCTTCTCCTCTTCCTAGAAGAGTTTGAGACTTGGAATTTGAGGTAAGGTCACGATCACATGACATATTTTGAAAAACAGAGCTTTGGTCTTTGTCTTGATCCAGGTTCAGGGTTCACTTTTGCAATTATTCAGGTAGATATTAACCACGGAAAGTTGCTTATTAGGGTCTAGGAATGGGAGACTCTGTATAAAATCAATCTGCCATTTTTCAAGAGAACATCAAGGAAATGGTGTGTGTGACATGGTCTTTGTTATAAAAGACTGTGATAAAAGGTTGCTGTATACTTGGTAATTGCAAAGAAGCAGTAGGGTATGATGTAGGCTACTGAATAGAGATATTGGAAAAACACCTACTTTGGGAGACAAGTTGTTGTCTTTATTTCTTTGTTTTCCCAGTGGAAAGCAAAATTAGCCACATTTTTCCACAAACAAGGTGGTGTTAGGACACATGTCCCAGAGGATTTTGGTATACCATGGTCTTTCCTTCATCCTGGGAACGAAAATTCATAGAGATGCAGCAAGTGTCTGCATTTAATTTTCTTGTTTTCATGACAATCAGTTGTTCCATGTTCAGTCATTCTATGCTGTCTGAATGATTTTATGTGTGCTTCATAGTCTAGTTTGTATAAAAGCCTTAAAAAAGTTGAAAAGATTTTTGAATATTACTTTATAGTATAAAAATAACAAAGCTTGTAGTTTGCCTTGTTAATTTCTGCTTATTATGTCTTTGAAAAGTGACAGCCTCTGTTATTTTTCTTCCAGGTATGCAAAGTCCAGTCAGATCAAGACAATGTCCAGCAGCAAGATATTTTTTAAAGGCAGTAGATTTCGATATAGGTACGTGTTTGCTGTTTCTTATTCATGGTAAATCATTTTGGGAAGTAAAAAACTTCCAGTAATTACTCATGGCAAATTCAGGGCTTTTCCTGCTGGAATGTCTGTTCATGCCTAGCTGACGCAAGATGTGAAAGCCTTTCTGTTGCCTTTTCTAGTTGTCACTTTAAAAATAAGCAATTTTCACACAGATACTTCTGTCAAGAGTAGTTCCACCAGCAGATAGCTCCACTTTTGGTGCAGCTTCTGTAAAAATAAGGATGTGTGTCCAGTGCAGAGATTTTATGCCCCATGTGCTTCTCTGAACCAGGTGTGAGATAAAGAGGCAGTCCTGTTCCACTCGCGGTGTTGTACTACAAAAATAAGCGCTTTTTCTTTGGTAGATTTCTGGGCAAATAGTCAGTACAATTTTATTCTGGGACTTATGTATGCAATTTATTACAATTGTTTTCCCTTTCCTTTAAATTTTTTTTGTAATGTAACTTAATCGTTCACGTTTTTGTAGTTTTTGTCATGTGTCTTAGTATTTACTTGAGTATTCATTCCATCTTATAATGCAGTGGAAAAGTAGCCAAAGAGGTTGTGGAGGCAAGCTCTAAAATCCAGAGGGAACCTCCTGAAGTTCACAGGTATGTCTTGACATTCAGTATTAAATCTGAAAGTCCAGGGAGGATTATTATTCTCTACAGAAGTGTTCTCCTTCCATCAGGTGCAATGCCTGTCATTCTGAGCTTCCACAATTACACGTGCAAGACTTAGGAAAGATATGTCTGACAATGCTATAAAATTCTGAATAATGTCTCCTATAAAAGAGAACCTAATCTGTGCTGCTTTGAAGCTCAGTTTAACTAATCAGTCAGATTTATAACATATTATTTTTCGTGTTATTGCATAAACTACTATTATATGATCCTGACAGAAAAGTACATTCTAATTTCCTAGATTTTGTTTGATTTTGAAAGTTTTTGGTTTTTATGTGCTTATGGGTAATTTTCAAAGTATACTTCATTGTTTTTCAATAATGCAGTCAATCATGAAGTTCATTCAGTAAAGAGGAAAAAATATTAGAGAATCTTTCTTTCAGAGGAAAATTTGCCTTGTAAGAAATCAGCTGCTGGATTTTGCAAGCAAACCAATGTTTTCAGGTCCTTATCACTCATTGTAGTGACAGTAAAAATTCCTAAGAACCTGATTAAAGCACTTCAGAAAAGAAGGAGGTCATCAGGGAAAACTATTTGAAACTTTTTTAAAGCCAGGTTACTTGATAGCCCGAACATTCTACAGCCATATTCCTCTTTTTGTTGAGATTTCATATTTGGGGGGAATATGCTCTGTTTATTTTTTTCATTGAATATTGCTATTCTGTCTATATTTGAGATAAAAATGTATTGTCTTTACTAAAAGACAGGAATGTATTTGCAGTAAATATTTATAATATATTGTCCAGCCCTACTATGTAATTGATATTTAGGCCATGCAGACATACTTTCAAACATACTTTTCCAGATTACATTTTAAAATGGGTAAGTGAAGGTGTAGAATGTGTTAAATGATAACAGAGAAGGCAAGATATAGGTGCATCATTGAGGGAGTATAAAATACTTGGGCACACAAATGTATTTTGAATGAGAATAGTTGCTCACTTTAGGAAATAGCTTATTGCCTACTTTCCAAGAGGTTTCTTTCTTCCAGGATAAGAGAAGATTTCCATACATTTATTTTTTATCTTGTATTTTGCTTTTCTTTGATTTCTATATTTAGAAGTACTTTAAACATATAGTTTAAAACTTAGTGTACGTAAAGAAACAGATCAGAGAGCAAATAAGTTTATAAAGCAACATCATATTGATTTGACACCCTTAAACAGCAATGCACATCTTTTATCATTAACCTTCTTACAAAGCTTGCATTTTTAATATTATGGAAGGCCCAAGTTCAGTTTCTTAGAAAGTCTAAGGAATGTAATGATTTCAGGTGTTTTTATAGCTCGGGTTGACAAAGACAGTGGTAGCTGATTCTTCTACAAGCACTAGCAGGCAAAAAGTATAGAAAATTTTCAGCTCAAAAAAGAGGCATATTTTTTAAAAAGTTACTCTGTGAAAGATGGAAATTATGGCTTTTCAGAAACAAAACATTCAGAAAAAAATTAGATTGAACGTAAACATGTATCTATATAAAGTTTTTCCTCCCTGTGCCCTCACCCTCAAAGTCAATTCAGTTGTACCATGGTTGCATTAAGAAAGAAACATGCAATTGAGAGGAGGGTGCTGCTCAGTATCTTTGTGTTTGGATATTACACTTAAAGCACTGTATACTGAAAATCTGTTGGAGAGGGTGGCCATGCAGGATTAATGTAGTGGCAAGTTCTTCTGACAAGCACAAAATGAATAATTTAATATTTTGCTTCCAAGGCATGCCTGAAGGAGGCATCTTGGTAAATAAGTATGGAGCAGAAGCCTATGGATGATCCCAGGCCCAACTCGTGTTTTGGGAGTTGCTTGAGACCTTTTTACAACAAGTGCAAAGGTTCAGGGATTGCATAAAAAGCCTATGGATTCACCATTGGGTTGGAGTGACTATAATTATAATAATCTAAGTGAAAACCTTCCATGGATGTGAAAGTTTAAATTAAATAGTTATCAGAGAGTGTTCAGAGAATGCAAGTGAGGATGTAAATATCTTTGGATGTGTTACAGCACAAGGAATCATCAATTGAGCAAGAAAGCTTGTTTATTTCCAGAGAATATTTACTGACAGGTAGTGTGGGTTAAGAGTTGGACACCTGTGTCCCAAGTTTACCTGAACCTTTAGCAACACACAGTTCCATCTTCTGACTTGCAATAAGTCCTTTGTTCAGTTTGTTTATGTGGAATTTTAAGTAGAGTCTTTTGTGCAGAATTGAAATGCATTTTGTGAACCTTCAGCACTGTATCAACATACCATTTGCAGTTTTTGCTTTCATCTTTGCTTTTGTCAAAGTAAATATTTTATAATATAATGGTTAAGATTTACTGCAGGACTCTTGCTTCAGGCCTGTATCATGTAAATCCTAGATAACATATTCAAAAGAGCCATTTTATATTCTCAGTAATATATTTTTTGGCTAATAAGCACCTTGACTGAAGAAAATCAGCAGCATTCCTAAATCTTTCCAGAGCATATTCAACCTGCATAACCTGCTACCAGGAAAGCCTCTTAGAGTGAAGTAAGACAGGAAGGAGAACCAGCCTGAGTGCTGGGAGGCATGGTGCAGAGGCAGCATCTGGGCTGTGTGGGCATGACTGAGAGCAGTCTGTATCTGTAAACCACAGGGATACAGCTGTTCCTGCTTTAGTCTTTGATCCTCAGCGCTCAAACTGTAACAAATCCTTTATCCAGCTCTAGAGGCAATGAAACAACTTTCCCCTTCCTTGAATCCAAGTACTGATGTATTCTGTGCACTGTGGGGAGGAGCGACACGCTGGAATCCTGCCTGAGACAAAAGGAAGTCAGGCAGTGTACAGGAGGTAAATCAGCACAAAGCCTCTCACACTTCAGATATTGAAACCTGTACCTCTGTGGAGGGTGCACCGAGCACAGCTGAAAGCAGTGTTCAATGTGTAGAGCTTTTTACAGCAGCTCAAGGCCTAGTAATGTGTGCAAAATCATTCTGTGATGAGACCTGCTGCTCTGCAGCTATTCCCAGCAAGCAAACTGACCCTGTTTTCCCCCTTCTTTTAGAACCAGCATTACCCAGAGCCGCAGCTCTCCCTCCTTGAACAAGCAACTCATAATCAACATGGAACCTCTGCAGCCTCTGCTTCCTTCTCCCTGTGAGGAGGAAGAGGTTCCTTTAGATGAAGGTGAGTCACTTACCCAATTCCTGTCGATATTTATTACAAAGTATATGGAAAAAGGTGTGATACTGACTCAGGGATATGGAAAATAATCCAATAATTTTCATTAGGAATACATCATTAAACCTCTGTATGTCATACCCAGAGACGATCGCTATCTCAAGAAACTGTGCATAAGGCTTTATGCAAGATACATTGTGAGGAAAGTTACTGCTATTTGATTTCTGTTTAAAAAAATCTTTAAAATTGTCAGGCAAAAGAATCTTAGGAAATAGATAGTCTCAAGATGGCACCTTATTCTAATAGTGTCAGCAGTCACTCAGGAGTGAAAATGGGCAGTTTACTGTTGGATATTTTGTTTTTCTGAATTCTCTTTACTTTTATATTTCCTTCTTTCTGCTTTAGTCTGCTAATTTAATTTCCTTGACAAAAAAAGGACGTTACTTGAAGATCAGCTATGAAAGATCTTCTGTTAATTTATTTTCCTTGACAAAAAGGGATGTTATTGAAAGATCAGCTTCAATTTATTCTGTAAAACAATATTTTCCATGTATTTCTTTATTTCTTGATATTTCAAATATCATATTGAAAACCTTTCTTTTTGGGACAGAGTGACTACAAACAATGACATGAGCACCATTGGCAGCTTAAATGAGCATAATTGCCTTTGTCCTAGTACAAATGAAGCCAACCAAACAAAATCTGACACTGGCTCTTGCTTGAGATGTAGTGAGATAATTGTCTGAGAAGTTGGGAAATATGGTCTTTGCTGTTGCTTTGTTTTGGTCAGTTGGAAACAGAAAATAGCTGAGTATCTTTTTCATGGGAGTATGTCCTAATTTTATTTTATAGAAGCTGTATGAGCATGTTTTGTTCATTCTTGGGAGTTTGGACACTGAATGTAGCAAGCAAATGGTAAATTACCTTGTTTGTGTGCATACGTTATTATAATTAGTAGTAGCAGCTGTTAGTTTTAACAGGTAATTGTTTACCTCTGCTGTGAAATACGTGTGTCTGAGAATTTGCCTTCTAGCAGCCAAGTACCACCGCTGTGTTTCCTCTGAGCAGTTGTCACCACAGCAGAGTATAACAACAGCTTGCTGCGTGCAGCCACACATCCTTGTTTGCATCCTGTAACCACACTTAGAACTCAAGGCAATGAAATCCATTTTTGGAAACTGGTGACTTATTGCTATGTGCTCACCAGACAGTTCTTGTTGTAAATGTTTGTGTTACATAAGTTTGAAAACTCCATTTCCTTGCAGTCCGACAGATTGTTGTTACTATGACGAGCTAATAGACATATTTACTGGTGCTATTTAACCACATACTTTATATGTTGTTAAATATCACCAGCTGCTAAGTTAACAGTATTTAGACTTTTGCAGTCTTTTCCTGCAGAAAATTTGGCTATATTATCAAATTGAGGCTTGAACTGATCTCACAGCTCTCCAACAGTGATGCTGGCTCTCTTCCCAATATCCATTTCTGTGGATTCCCACCTTCTCCTTTGCATCAGCACTAATCATACCAGTGTGAACTGGTAGAAGGAGTTAAAAAAACCCAACAAACCCGAAAGAAACAGTAAATAAAATAAATTCAAAACAACAACAGCAAAACCAAACCAAAACAACAGCAAACCAAATTAGAACAAAAGCCCCCAAAAACAAACAAAAGACCCCTTAACTGTGCAATGTCCTATTATTGCCTGACTCAACTTTTGATTGGCTCTGCAAGAGGGTCAAAAAAGGTCCTGTGTTGGGGTAAGGGCATGAGCAGGGGAGGAGGAGAGGGGAGGCATCCAGTCCTGAGACTGACACAGTTGCCTTGGGAAACTGCTTTTGGCGTGCTACAGGCATGAAACAGCCTTGGTATCTCTCTATATGTCTCGGCCCAGTGAAGCAAACTTTAATTTTTGTTGTTCCAAGGGAAAAAGTCAATGCTATCAGATCAGTAATTCATGCATGAAGTCTCAGCACGGAAGTATCGAGTGAATGAAAAAGAAGCTTTTATCACTTTGTCAAAACCACATTAATATCCTGTGACTGGAGAGGTAGGGTTTTGCCTTTAAAAAAAAAAAATAGTCCACTCAAATAAGTGAAGCCGTGATAGCATCTGGTGCTAGAAAATTCACCAGGATACCACCTGCAAAATAGTTGCCAAGAAATCAGGACGGGCAGTAATCTGTCTTCCCAAAATCAGATGATAAAAGAAGCAGCCACAGAATCTGTATAGAAGCACTACAAGAAATACGATATGTTCAACTACACATGGAGCACAAACTGAGCTATAGTCAGTGCTGGTGAGGCTGCACCTCAAATCCTGTGTTCAGTTCTCTGGGCCTCTCACTGAAAGAAAGTGATTGAGGGGCTGGAAAATGCACAGAGAAAGGCACTGGTGTGAGTGAAGGGTCTGGAGCACAAGTCCTATGAGGAGCATTTGAGGGATCTTGTTTAGTCTTGAGGAGGCTTGGGGTGACCTTATCACTCTCTACAACTCCCTGAAAGGAGTGTGCAGCCAGGTGGGGATTGGTCTTGTCTCCCAGGTAATAAGTAACAGACAAGAGAAAGTGGCCTCATATTGCACCTGAGAAGGTTTAGTTCGGATATAAGAAAAATTTCCTTACCAAAGGGATGGTCAGACATTAGAACAAACTGTCCAGGGACATGGTTGAATCAACCTCCTTGGAGCATTCAGAGGTGTGTGGGTGTGGTGCCTGGTGACACGAACGTAGCAGTGCTGGGTTAACAGACTTGATGATCTTTCCAACCTTAATGATTCAATGTACTGAATGAGCACACAGCTGCTACCATCAGTCTAATTGTCTGTCTCTGTGAAGGTACTCAGCTGTGTAAGATTTCGTTGTAGAGGAGAGGCATGTGGAGCTTTTGTAGGTACAACTATTTTAATTTTTTTTAGATAGTCTCTTGCTGAGAGTTAGTATAGACCGGCAGTTTCTGAGTCAGTTGTAAGATTTTAAGATTTCTCCCTTAGTTATGAGCAGATAAAACTGTAGGGAGCAATTTGAAATTAACATGGTTATTTCTCTTTTGCATAAACATGGTCACATGAAAGATAAATGATAGATTTTACTTCTCAACATCAGTATGCAGGAACACACTGGCCTTTTTTCCCCTTGCACTAAGATTTGACGCCTTGGATATTTTTGTGCTTCTGTGTGGTTCAGCTGTTATGCTGGCAACTGCTAGCTGAGATGGATGCTGTGGAAGTTTGCAATGTATGTTATGAGGCATTTGGAAATGTTTCAAATGTTGGGAATCTTTCACAACCTTGTCTGGGTGACACTTGAGTCCTTGTATAGGCCTTCCTTTATGTATTGAATACATAGGTGGTTAGATTTTTGTAAGAATTCACGCTTTCCAGTTTTTGTAGCCATGTACACAATCAAGAGTCAATCCCTTTTAGTTCGAAGTTAATGATCCTATTTTGGTTATGAGAATAAAAATGAGAAAAGAAGACAGAATCTTACTTTTGAAGGGGTGATAAAATGGAGTTAGGAAGCAAAGGGGTACTTCATCTTCCCTCACACCCACAAGAAAGTGCATGCAGAAAAGGAAAGGAAGAGAGAAATCTTTGCTCTGGCAGAGGAATGAGTAAACATTTCCTCTGCTGGATATTTGGATATGTGTGGGTAAGATAGCCACTGTAAAGATGCTTTCCAAAAGCTTCATTGAAGCAGATGTCTTTTGTGAGAGAAACATCTGAGTGTAAAATAGACATTTGCAGGACTCTGTCCCCTACTCCTCTTATTCCCACATATTTGCATGCACATCACTGATTTTTTGGTACAAGGAGAACAAGGATGTCAGATAATGAAGACTCAGATATCACAAGATGTCATGAACATTACGGATGAGTGTTCTGGAAAGTGAGAGACTACATTCCCACCAGTACACTCCTTCCAGTTTATCTCTTCTCTTTGGCTTTGGTGCATCAGGAAAGAGTTTCTTTCTCACTAGGATAGTGTGATGTTATGCATATAGTTGTCTTCCAGTTCCCAGCTGGAGCAAGTTAGCAGCAACTAGCATGGGTGCATCATGATCTTTTTGGGAACCTGTATATCTCTCTGGACAGGAACAGGGAAGTGCCTAGTCTTTTAAGACAATATTTGTTTCTGGTGGATAAGAATCTGTCCAACAACTGTCCTCAAGTGGTAACTGGAGCTCATATGTAAAGAGAGATTTTTTTTTTCAGATATAAATTTTCTGTTCTTGTTTTTACATGGGCAGGTCAGTTTTCATTCTAGGCTAGAGACGAATGTGTTTTCATCTCACTGCTTTGCTTTGTGACTAAGGTTTGTAAGCACAGCATAGGGTTTTTCCATTGTATCTACATGTTTCACAAATAATTTCCAGGCAGTGACGGGGAACTGACATTACTGGCATATTAAAGCTTTTTAGAAAAAGAATGGGACTATGAATGCTGACCTCTTTTTTAACTGCACTATGTGTTTGTGCCTTAGATATTTTTATGCCTCTGTGTGTAGTTCAGCTGTTATGCTAGCAACTGCTAACTGAGACGGGTGCTGTGAAAGTTTGTATTGTACATTATGAGGCATTTGGAAATGTTTAAAAATAACCTCTGATTCTGTTCCCTGCTGGGATATTTTTGTTGGCCATGTTAGAAGCTTGTCATTTGATTCATTGAGAGCAACTTGTATTAGTCTCTTCAAACGCAGTGGGAACTTAATAAAAGGTCAAAGCTGGTATGGCTAGAGCTTTTACAAGACCTTGAGAAGAGGAATTAATAGTCAAAATGGTGAAATGTCTTGTAAAAATCCAAACCAAGAGAAGCATTCATTTGCGGATGGTTAACCACTGCAACAAGGAAGTATGCATTCGTTTACTGCGGCATGGCTCCAAGATCACAGCCAGAAGGGCTGGTAAATTTACATTTATTTTACTCAAACCCCTTTTTAAAACCCTTTTACCCTAGTTTATGTATAATAATTGTCTCTTGGAAAGGAATTGCACTTGTACAATTAA